GGCCTGCGGGCCAGCACCGGCCGCCCGAGTGGGACCCGGGGAGAGAGGGGGTCCCAGCGCTCCAGGGAGTGGTGGGACCTTAGCTGACGGCCTCACTCATGGAGAAACCGGGCAGAGGGCACGCACCCAGGGATTGGTGGACCTCTCTCCCGGTACCTGGCTGGTTCCCTCGCTTCAGCTTGAAGTACCCGCAGGGCCAGTTTCCCCGTACCCGGGGGGACCCCCCCCCCCCCAATGCTCCCCTAAACGAGCCCATGGATTGCTGGCTGTGCACCTGAAAACGGAAACTGAGGCAGCACGGCCAGTGCAGGTGTGTGCAGGGCAGGCTGGGCCTGGGAGTGGAGGGGAAGCCTCGCCTTGCCCACAGCGCCACCTACTGTCCTGCTGCCTGGCTCCTTGCAGAGCCTGCAGCCAGGAACTCAGACGCCGTGGGGGCCACCAATGTCTGCAAGATCACGCTCATTCTGCCTCGGACCCCCTGCCCCGGCCAGGCAATTCCTGGAGAAAGAGCCGCCTCCTCCCAATCTCACCGGGGGAAGGGGGGGGGGCCTCATCCCCTGGTCACCCCCAGGGGAGCGAGCCAGGCCTGTGGGCCTCCGGCTGCTGCAGGGCCTGTGAGGGGCCTACTCATTAGCCACATGCCCCGCTGAGCACACGGGCTGCCCGAGCCCGGCCGTGGACCCCCTCAGAGAGGGCCTGCGGGTGGCTGTGGGGGTCATGGGCCGCACACTGCCCCTGGGTCTCAGGGAGAAGAGCGAGCAGAGGCCTGGGCACAAGCCAGGCGTGCTGGGGACGAGGACAGTCGGCCAGGCTGGGCCCAGGGAACAGCCTCAGAAGCACCCTCAACGCCAAGGAACCCACTGCCAGGCCTGTCCCCCCTACACTGTCCCGGGGGCTGCTGGAACCCCTGCACGCTCCGGGGTCTCCCGTGGAAGAGTGAGGATAGGTCACCGTCCGTGAACCCCAGGGGCAGCCGGCTCCGAACGCTCAACGCCGCAACCAGCCTGGATGCCAGGACAAGCAATTGGCCTGCAATGACAGTTACGGCACCACACAGTTTCTTTTGTGAACAATGGACAGCCATGTCCACGTCGGGGCTGGCTGGCATGTGACAGAGGGAGCTTCGGGCACCGCCAGGGCGTGGGGGGGGCTCCCCAGGGCACGGGGCCGCCACTCACCTCTGCTGAAGGCGTGAGCAGCGCCGGTGCTTCAGCCCAGGCCCCCCCTGCGCATCAGGTGTGTGAGCGACCGCTCCAGGGCGCCTCTAAACACCGCCCCCCGGCCCGCCCGGTGCCGGGTGCGAGCCCACGGGAAGCAGGGCCTGGCTCCACCACAGAGCTGCGCACACGGCCGGGTCGGAGGGCCCAGAGTGGAGGGCACACAGCTGCCTCACTCACACAGGGGCGACTGCGCCCTCAGGACCTGGTAACGTCTGGAGCCCAGCATGGCATCGCCAGCGTGGCAGCCCTGACCAGGGTGGGAGCAGGACGGCAGGAGCTCGGGAGCCCTGGGGGAGAAGGTGGGTCACCCAGGGGTGCCGCAGGGGGCCTCTCAGGCAGGCCAGAGCGTACACTTCCCCTGGGCCAGGCGGCCGCTGAGCGGCGCCCGCGGGGACCGATGCCGCCGTGTTCCCAACGTGCAGCTGGGAGAGGTGACGCGGGGGCCCGTGTGCAGCAGGCGGACTGTGAGGGCCGACGTGGGGGCGGACAAGGAGCGAACAGAGCCTGGAGCTCCACGCGGCCCCGCACCTGGGCTGCAGCCTGAATGGCAGCAGCCAGGGAGCAGGAAAGCAGGGGTGCAAGGGGGCAGGGAGGGCCTGCTCTCCCAGAAGCCCCCACATAAGCCCCTGACGATCTGGGTGGGGCCCGCTGCTCATCCGGCGGCTGCCAGCCCAGACCCACGCCGCCCGGTCTGCTGTCTGCTGCGTTGTCCCCCGTTGTCCCCCTGCTGGTCAGGACTCTCCCACTTGCTGATTCTCTTCCCCAGATACGTGAGGGCTCCCTCCCTCAGAGGGCAGGCTCCTGCTCCAAGCTCACCCCTGCCAGTCCTCCCATCGCCCCGCTCGCTGCCGTGAGCCAGGCCGGGCCCAGGCCACGGGCTCCTGCGTTCAGGAATGAGCTCAGGAAGCGGCCGAACGAGGTGGCAGAGGTCTGAGGCCCTCACTGTGACACTGACCTGAACCACGTGACACGCACCAGCACAGCACCCGGCCCGCCTGGTGCCTGGTTAGCACAGGACCTGTCCCTGCCCACCTGTGGTTCACTGTGCCCTCTGCTCAGGCTGGGATTCTCGTGCCCCCACCCAGAGCTGGTCCGCCCACACACACCCATGGCTCCTGCCCGCCCACCCAGACCAGGGCCTCCTGCCCGCCCACCCAGACCAGTGCCTCCTGCCCGCCCACCAGACCAGGGCCTCCTGCCCACCCAGACCAGGGCCTCCTGACTGCCCACCCAGACCAGTGCCTCCTGCCCACCCAGACCAGGGCCTCCTGACTGCCCACCCAGACCAGGGCCTCCTGCCCGCCCACCCAGACCAGTGCCTCCTGCCCACCCAGACCAGGGCCTCCTGCCCGCCCACCAGACCAGTGCCTCCTGCCCGCCCACCCAGACCAGTGCCTCCTGCCCACCCAGACCAGTGCCTCCTGCCCGCCCACCCAGACCAGTGCCTCCTGCCCGCCCACCCACACCAGGGCCTCCTGCCCACCAATCCAGACCAGGGCCTCCTGCCCGCCCACCCAGACCTCTCGCTCTGTGACACCTGGCACCATGTGGCTTCAGAATGACCTCCCAGCACGTGCTGTGGAAAGGTCTGTGCGTGACGCCGTGTCCTCAGGGCGCTGGGGACTGGTCAGGCTAGCCCGAGCGCCAGGAGAACCGGCGTGACCACCGGTCAAGGCCAGGCTTGCAGGGAAGGCGGAAAGACCATGATGTCTATGCCCCGGAGCTACAGCCGTTTCGCACCCCCTGCTTCCTGCGCTGCTAACAGACCCACAGGCTGGCACCGCTGCTTCCTGCGCTGCTCACAGACCACAGGCCCGGCTCCCGCTGCTTCCTGCGCTGCTCACAGACCACAGGCTGGCACCGCTGCTTCCTGCGCTGCTAACAGACCACAGGCTGGCACCGCTGCTTCCTGCGCTGCTCACAGACCACAGGCTGGCCCCCGGCATGGGACGTTCACGGATCTGACGCCGGAGCCCACCGCCGGCTGCGGCCCGGGGAGAGCCCTCCCTGCCCTCCCCGCGCTGAGGGCGCTGGCGGCACCCTGCTCTCCGAGGCCAGCCCGCACTGCCCTGTCTCTGCTCACCGGCTACCCCTCATTGCGGGTAGGACACCCCAAAGCCCAGGACTCTGCCATCTCAAGAAACCCACTCAGTCACACCCTCAGAGCACCCCACCTTTCGGGCACAGAACCGTCACAGGGTCCTGCTGAGGCTGGACAGATGCGGAGGTGGTCAGCGCGCACCCCGCCACCTCCCTATCTGCTGCCAGAACTGAAGAGTGGGGTGGGAGGCGAGGGGGCGCCGCACGCACTGCCCACTGGCCAACCGCTCCTGTGGGGAGCCCAGCAGGTCAGGGCCAGGGCAGGGGGAGGGGGAGGCGCCCCCGGGAGGCCTGCAGCAAGCTCCGGCCCTCTGGCCCTCTGAGCTCCCTCCCTCAGCTGCCCCCCTGGGGCAGCGGCCTCAGGCGGCCCAGGGCGTTCAGGACAAGGAACAGGGCATTCCCGGCGCAGCCCTTCGAGGCGCGCAGCCTCCCCGCCCCCCGCCCCGGTGTCCTGGCGGACGGACGCCTGACTCGGGAACATGTCCTGCTCTGCCCCTGGGACCGGTGCTCACCTGGAATGAAAACAGTCGGGAACAGGCTGTTGCTAACACTGAGCTACACTTGATGGAGTCACAGCGGCTTGGGCTCTGCGTCAGCAAACCCAGCCCCAGCCCCAGGACCCCGCATCCCCGGGACTCCCCAGCCCAGGGACCCCACAGCCCCAAGACCACCCAGCCTCGAGACCCCACAGTCCCGGAACCCCTCAGCCCCAGGACCCCCCAGCCCAGGGACCCCCCAGCCCCAGGACCCCGCAGCCCAGGGACCCCGCAGCCCCAGGACCCCGCAGCCCAGGGACCCCGCAGCCCCAGGACCCCGCAGCCCAGGGACCCCCCAGCCCCAGGACCCCACAGCCCCCCCCAGACCCCACATCCCCCCCCCGGACCCCACATCCCCAGGACCCCTGCAGCCCCAGGGACCCTGCAGCCCCAGGACCCCCCAGCCCAGGGACCCTGCAGCCCAGGGACCCCGCAGCCCAGGGACCCCACAGCCCAGGGACCCCGCAGCCCAGGGACCCCACAGCCCAGGGACCCCACAGCCCAGGGACCCCCCAGCCCCCCCCAGGGACCCCCCAGCCCAGGGACGCCACAACCCTGGGACCCCAGCGCAGCTCCCAGCCCCAAACACTGCTCTCTTCCATCTCTCCCGATGGTGCCCTGGGAGAGCCGGACCCCAAGCTCCAAGCGTGCCCCCACCTTGGGCCAGGGAAAGGCTATGGCAGGAGGCTTCCTCCAAGGCCGGGGCCACCGCCCACGCCACTGCCCAGCCCTCTCCCCTCCCCGCGTGCCTGCCCCTCCGGCGAGTGGCGCCGTCTCCCTCCTCAGTCCTCAGAGGCTCATTCCTGCTCCCCGCTGCCTCCAGCCAGCGGTGTGCGGACCCCTGTGCAGGAGGATCCTTTCGGAAAGCTAAGGTGTGCGGGCGTGAGAGGGGAGAGGGAAGAAACCCTACACCGAGCCGTCCGCCCCACCCACTGAGCACCTCGGGACGCCACCAGGAGAGCGGGCAGCGCCCTGGGCACTGCTGCCCGGCGTTCCAGCAGCCGCCGGGGCTGTCTGGCAATGCCAAGGCCTGGTGGGATGCCCAAGGCGAGGGGCCTCCCTGGCCCACGTCCCCTAACTGGATGCCACCTCCTGGGAAGAGGAAGACCGACTGCCCGCCAGGCCGGGCGCGGTGGGTGCTTACCACATTCCAGAAGAGCGGGTTGAAGACGATGGCAAGGACGGCGGCCACAAAGCAGGGCTCCCAGGGGTCCACGTAGCCCAGCAATCGGGTCATCACGCAGAGGTCTGCCTGCAGGGACAGAGCGTCAGCAGGCCCGCCCCCGCCCCGGCCCCCGCACGGAGCAGCCGCTGGGAAAGGGGGCTCCGCACACCGCGTCCCAGGCTGCTACAGGGCGGGCTCATCGCCCGGCAATAGAGAGCGGAAACCAGTCAGCTGTGCCGGCCTCGGGCCCCAGGAGCACAGGGAGCGACCGCAGGGCTGGGCCTGCAGCGGCCGAGGCCCAGAGCACCGAGGGGCCGGCCGCGGTGGGGAGAGATGCAGACGTGCCTCCTCTCAGACTGAGTGACAGGCAGCCCTGCCTGAGGAGGCTGAGCCCAAAGGTGGCCATGGAGACACTCCCGGGTGGCCATGGGGACTCGCCGTGCGTGAGCAAAGATCTCGGGTCGCACGCTCGCCGTGAAAATGTGTCCATTGACTGAAGAGTGGATCAGACGCTGTGGCCCATTCCTAACAGCTCAGAGACAGAATTTAGCATAAACTAGATAGACATATGTCAACATGTGATATTCTGAAAAGCATGTCCACTGGCCACGGCCCGCTGCACATTCCAGAGCAAACGCACCGCCCTCGGAGCCCAGCAGCCGCCCGCCCCGGAGCCTGTGCCGCCCGCCGCCTGGCGTCCGCGGGCCGGCAGCACCTGCAGCGGGCAGCTCGGCTCCACACGCCTGCCGCCCGGCCACTCGGGGAGGGCCGTCCCTGACGGTGGGTGTCAGCAGCACCCCTGGCCCCCACCCCTAAACGTGGGTATCTCTCTCCGTTGTGACAACCCAAAATGCCTCGAGACATGCCCAAATGTCGCCCAGGGACAGAACTGCCCACGGCTGAGATCCCTGTCTCTAGGCACGAGCTGGACACTTTCAACATGGGTTTTTGGTGTGTTTTTTTGTAGCTGAAGAAACTGCTGAGCTAAAGCCAGCCATCAACAAGGGATTTTTAAAAAATATTTTGTACCGATTTAAAAGAGGAAGCCTCAGAAACACCAACAACGAGAGAATCACTGTAAGAGAAGTCCAAGTCCGTCCGAGTTCTGATCTTCCCCGCAATGTCTACTTTCATGGTGGCTTGGTTCTGTTTTGTTGCTTGAGGATATAGAACATTCTAAGTATTGTCTCCCGCGTCTGGGGCGGGAGGAGAGGATTCTGCTTTCTTATTCTCAGCCAGGGCTGCTTACTGCTCCGACAGAGAGGCCTGGTGTGCCTGGTGCGAAGGCTCCAGTGGCCTTCCCGGCCACAGGGGGCGCCCTGCAGGGTCCCCACTCCAGAATAACCCACCTGAGAGGACAGACCTCCCTCCTCTGACTGGACGGACAGAAAATAACCAAACGGGGTCAGACGTGAGCAGAGTGGAAGTCCATCAGCTACCCCTCACCCCATGAGCCGCCTTGGCTAAGGGAAGTGCCCCTCCCCCATCCCCGACCTCACCCAGCCACGGAGGCCCTGGCCTCCTAAGGAGGGACCCGCAGCCACGGCTGGAGCTCACGAGGACGCGGGGACACAGGTAGGAGCGCTCCCTGCCGCAGCCGGATGCTCCCGGCTCGGCTCCTGCACCCGGGTCTGGTGAGGAAGGGCCCCCCTCGGTGGCTCTGCCGAGGGGCTGGGACACTGCAGGGAGCTGCCGGCCATGGGTCACGGCAGGGCCACATCGTGACATCCAAACACACGGCGGCCCGGAGTCAGTCACATGACCACCGTGAGATCCACTCTGACACAGCAAGGGCGGGCGGCCCGGGGGGCGGGGGGCGGGCCCCAGCAGGGCCCTCCATCCCCGCAGAAGGCATCCTGGAAGCCACAGCCCCTCCTGCCCCTCCCAGGGAGCCCACATGCCCCTGGCATTCTCAGTGGATTCGGGCAACAGGTACCGGCCAACTTTTGGTGAGAAGCCTGTGCCTGGCGCGGACTCAGAGCAGGTGTTTTGCACCCTCACACCGGGCAGGAGTTTTACACCAAGGTGGCCCCTCGGCTCACTTCCTGCTCTGCCCGCTCGGACAGTCTCTCTGGTCAGCCCACAATACAGGCTAGAATCAGGGTGCTCCCACCCCCCACCGGCCCGCCACACACACACACACAGATAAAAAGCAGGGCTCCGAAACCAGTCTCAGCCTGGGTTTCCTTTGGTGAAATGGTGATGAGATTGTCCCCCAAGGTCAAGGGCGCTTCCAGGGCCCAGGCGCTCTGGCCCTCCCTCTGCTGACGCTAACACCAGCACCCCAGGGAAAGCAGCAGGGGCCTGGCCGAGGAGGGGCCCCGCCAGCTGGAGATCCTCTGAAGGCAGCGGCCGGTTGAAATGTCCACTGGACAGCGGTCAGCTGCGGACAGTTTCTGGAAAACACTGCTTTCAAGGGTCCCTAAGTCCCATGACCAAAGGAGGCGGCCAGCAGCTGCCCCAGGCCCCCGGATCCGTAACTCCCTCAGGACCGGCAGGTCTCCTCCTCCTGCACCCAACAACTGGGTCTCGGGCTCTGAGCACAGGCTCTGATGGCTCCCATGCTCCCCATTTGGGCCAAAGGGAGCTCTTCCTGGGAGTGGAGTCTGTGGAGGAGCCTGTTTCCCACAATCCCCGTCTCCTCCTTGGCTCCCTCCCCCCACCCCCAAGTCACGGAACCCTTGCCTTGACCGGCACCAAGGGCCCAGCCGAGCCGACGAGGTCAGCGCTGCTGCCTGCACGTATGCAGATGCACACTGTGTGCTCAAGGCAATAACAGCAAGAAGTCAGCTGGTCTCTGGCCAGGGACGGTGCCAAGCCCTGCCAAAGGCTTCAACGAGGCAGGCAGAGAGCGGACCTGAAGCCAGGTTTGCCCCAGACGGGCCCAGCTGGACTCCGTAAGCTTAGGCATGCCCCCGGCCCTCTGCAGACCTGGCCACGCGTCTCCTCCGTCAGGGCCGGCAGGAGGCGGTGAAGGCTCACAGCACCTGGCACTAGCGAAGCTGGCAGGTGTTAGCTGTTACGACGACGCCCTTCAGTCCATGCAACAATCATAGGAGGCACACCCATTTTTCAGATTAAAAAACTGAGGCTAGCCCTAGCTGGTTTAGCTCAGTGGACAGAGCATCAGCCTGCAAACTGAAGGGTCCCAGGTTCAATTCCAGTCGGGCAAGGACCTTGGTTGCGGGCACATCCCCAATAGAGGGCATGTAGGAGGCAGCCAATTAGTGATTCTCTCTATATTGGTGTTTCTATCTCTCTCCCTCTCCCTTCCTCTTTGACATCAGTAAAAATATATTTAAAAAAACAAACAAACACAAAACTGAAGCTAACCATGAAGCACAGACGGACAGAAATGAAAGGTGAGAGACAAACCCACATCACAGAGACTTTCCCCTCCCCTCAGCGACAGAGCAGAGAGGCCGGGGCGGGGCCCTGAGCCACCACCAGCACTGGCCACGGTGCCCACAGAACCCCACAGAAAACACGTGCCGAGCACGCATTCTGGGCCACACAACAGATACTAAACTTAAAAGAATTAGAAAGCATAAAAGTATGTTATTAACCTGTAACAGAATTACACTAGAAATCAATAACAGAAAGATACTAGTTAAGTATAATAATCCACGGGTTAAGGGGAAATTTAAAGTGTTTTGAACTGAACAAGAATACGAAGTATCAGAAATTGTGGGATAAGGACTAAGATGGAAATCTATAACTTACGAAATTTGTGCACTGTGGGGGGGTCTCTTAGCCCAACCTGCACCCTTCTGCAGTCTGGGCGCCCTGGGAGATGTCTGACTGACAGCTCAGGCCTGCTCCCGCCAAAGCTGTCAGGCGGACTCCTTAGCGCTGCCTTGAAGGCCAAAGAGGCTAACACCACCACTGCTGCCCTCACCAGCAGTGAGCCCAGCTCAGGGCTTCTGGCTGGGTGATGCTCCCCCTGGTGGTCAGTGTGTGTCATAGCAACTGGTCGTTCACCATTCAGTCAATCCGCATGTTAGCCTTTTATAATATAGGATATTAATTTTAAAAAGTCTCAAGTCAGTAGCATAAGCTTTATCCATAAAATGTTAGAGGTACAGGAGTAAATTAAACTCAAAGGAAGCAGAAAGAAAAAGTAAAAGACCCCAAGTCAATCAGATTGAAAACAAAAATAGAGATGGAGGGAATAAACCCAAATCTTGTTCTTTGGGAAAAAATAAAACCGAAACAGTGCTAGCCATCCTGACCAAGGGAAAAAAGGCCCAAATGACCACACCAGGAATGGAAGTGGAGCATCCCATAGGCCTCGAACATCGTGGGTAACAGGGCCACCGAGAACACGCTCACACCACAGCCCAGCAACGCGGGTGAAACGGCCCGTCCTGAAGCCACGGCCGCGACATCCACTGCAGACAGAGCCCCTCAGCTACTGGAGGAGTTGAACCCAGTTTGGAACCTTCCAAAAAGAGAGCTCCAGACCGGAAGGTTTCATGGGACAAACCCTACTTAACACTTCCGGAAGGAGTAACACCCGTCCACAGACTCCCCCGGATACGGAATGGAGAACTGCCCTCGTACACGAAGAAGCCAGCATCACCTTAATACAGAAGCCAGACAAAGACACTACAAGACCTCTACAAACCATATTCCTTAGGAACATGCCCGCCAAAGTGAGCCGCGCGCACACACAGGACAGCGTGTCAGGCCACGGGGGAGTCGCCCGGGAGTGCAGAGCTGGTCTGACCATCAGCAGAACGAGGAAAGCCGGGTGGACTCCATAGAGGCAGAAGAAACGGGCCCCCCAGGTGTAAGCGACTCCCCAAGATCAGGCCGAGGAGCCCAGGCCGGGGCTTTGACTCTGACCCAAAGAATACTTCCGACCCAGACCATGTCCTGGGAACCTCGCAAATTAAGCCTTCCAGTGAAAGGCCTGGCATTTATTCTAGAAGAGTGAGGACACCAAAAGGTTTTTAAAAACACTTTTGTATTGCGCTAGCTGATTTGGCCCAGTGGATAGAGCATTGGCCTGCAGGCTGAAGGGTCCTGGGTTTGATTCTGGCCAAGGGCACAAGCCTGGGTTATGGGCTTGATCCCCAGTGGGGGGTGTGCAGGAGGCAGCCGATCCATGATTCCCTCTCATCATTGATGTTTCTCTCTCTCTCTCCCTCTCCCTTCCTCTTTGAAATCAATAAAATATATTTTTAAGAAAACACTTTTGTATCGCAGGCAAGCCTCTGGCACCGAAAGACAATCAACACATTCCAAATCCGCCACAGCTCAGCCTCCAATCACAAGCAGCCTCAACACTCCGGAACCCAGGGCTCTGCCTTCTGGAGGCTGCCTGAGTTGGGTGGGGGGGCACTCTGTATGAAGCCCCTCTGCATCCTGACCCCACTTTGGTCCTCGCCAGAGCCCCACCACTATCCCCGTTCTACAGACCAAGAAACTGGAGGGCCCTGGGACACCTACAGAGTGCCACCACCCATCTGCTCTCGGGGAACAGGGACCTGATGTGTGCGCATAAATCCCCCCTCCCCCCGGCCCTCCAAGAAGCCAGCAGCCCTAGACTCCACTGGAGCAATCTTCTGAGTCCTGGGGGCACTCCACCTAAGGTCAGCAGGTTGGCGGCCCCTGCTCCCACCCATTCTGCATCCCAGGGAGCCTTGGTCCATGAAGCTACAGCAGGTGCACGCCACCCCCCAGCAGGTGCCAAGACTGCACCACTGGAACAGGCTCAGAGAGCTGGCTAAGGGTACTGCACCCAACAGCCGCGCTGCTCGGCCACATGTGCTCACTAAGCACTTAGTGCTACATGAGTCGTATCTTTACATCCTGGGTCAAATAACATGTAATCTCATCGAGAGAACCATTGATTGGCTGCCTCCTGCACACCCCTCACTGGGGATCGGGCACACAATCCAGGCATGTGACCTGACTGGGAATCAAACTGTGACCTCCTGGTTCATAGGTTGATGCTCAACCACTGAGCCACACTGTCCAGGTGGATGTACCATATTTTTGTTTAATAATCCATGGAAGGACATTTTGGTTGTTCCCAGTTTGGGGCTACTATGAATAAAGCTGCTGTGACATTCGTGTATTTTTTAAAAGGAATATCTTCACTTTATTTGTTAAAATGCAGCTACTAGAGAAGTTTAAATCAGAAGATGGCACGTATTCCTTCTAGACAGCCGCCAGTGCTCCGGCCCCTGAGCCAGCAGCCCTGGCTGAGGAGGAGCCCTGAAGCTCCCTCAGGCCGGGGACTGGCAGCTTTTACAACCAGATTTTGATTGAGGAGGGAGGACAGCTACCACATAAAATACATTTATGTGTTGGTTTATTTTTTTGAAGAAAAATATCTTGGCAACAGGAAGCTTAACTGTACCAACAAGGGCAGGAGTGAAAAAACTGAACCTTAGTCAGCTAGGGTCACTGCGCTGGTCCGTTCTGGCCAGCTCTGGGCAAGGCCGCCAGGGCTGACCCTCACCTGCGCTTCTAAAGTGTGTGTGTGTGTGTGTGTGTGTGTGTGTGTGTGTATTGGTTAATCCTCACCAAAGGACATTTTCCCATTGATTTTTGAGTGGGAGAGACGGAGGTGGAAGGAAGGCAGGAGTGGAGGAGAGACACATCAATTAGTTGCCTCCCACACGTACCCCAACCAGACCCCCAACCAGGCCGGGACCCAACCTGCGCCTCAGGTATACACCCTTGACTGGGAATTGAACTTACGACCCTTTGACGTGCAGGGCGGTGCTCTACCCACTGAGCCCACTGGCCAGGGCCACCTCCTGTTTCTAAGTCTAGACTATAGGCCTTGCACAGACACCTGAGGGCAGGACTGGCCCTCCTGCAGTTCCACTCTTTCACACGGGCACCCACCCCGGTGGGCACTGCTGAGGTCCTGTGGGCATTCCAAGCGCACTTCCATCTGCGACGTGCTGTGGTAGGAAACACACTGACCACGTGTGTCCGGGAGCGGATCCCCCGCCACCACCGACCACGTGTGTCCGGGACGCTCAGAGGCACTGACAAAGTACCATCCTAAGAGTCCCATCTGTGGGCTCACCCTCCGTGGTGGCTCCCCGGCTGATGCCCTTGATCTGGTGCTCCTCCCCCGGTCGGTCACTCTGGGACAGTGCCTGAGCGTACCCGCATGCTCTACCATCCATCCACCTGCACGCTACTCCTTTCTTTCTTTTTTAAATATATTTTATTGATTTTTTACAGAGAGGAAGAGGGATAGAGAGCCTAGAAACGTCGATGAGAGAGAAACATCGACCAGCTGCTTCCTGCACACCTCCTACCGGGGATGTGCCTGCAACCAATGTGCATGCCCTTGACCAGAATCGAACCTGGGACCTTTCAGTCCACAGACCGTCACTCTATCCACTGAGCCAAACCGGTTTCGGCAGCTACTCCTTTCTTTAAGAAATACATTTTATTGATTTCTGGGAGGAAGGGAGAGGGAGACAGAGAGAGAATCATTGACTGGCTGCCTCCTGCAGGCCCAACACTAAGAATGGAGCCCACAACCCGGGCGTGTGCCCTGGCCAGGAATCCAACTGTGACCTCCTCGAGCTGCATGTTATTCTTAAGGAAGAGTTTACTAAAAAACAAATTTAAAAAATAATAAAAAACAGGCATCATCCTCTCTCCTGCTCCCACCACCCTCTGCAGAGCCCCGACTCCCACAGGCCAGCTCCCTCCGAGCTCCGCCCAGCCCTCCACCACTGCACCTGCCCGGGGTCTCAGCACTCCTCCCCGCGGCACCGACCCGTTTTATCTCCTTCAGAAAGTGTTTCCGGTTTCCTGTGTCCCTCACTAGAAGGAAAGCTGGTGTCCCCCACACAGGCTCTCCAAGCCCAGCTGTCTCCGCGGCGGGCGGAGGGGTGGACGAGCCGGCGGCCGCCGGGAGGGCTGACTGGAGGGAGACGGGAGGCCTCAGAGGCAGCTCGGGGGGAGGGAGGCCGCAGGAGAGGGAAGCCACTGGAACTGGGAGCCCGGGCAGACGCCCGGGGCTGCAAAGGACGCCGCGGCCCGGCGAGCAGCCAGACACCAGCCGCCGCTCCGCGAGGCGGCCGCCGTCCGCAGCCCGCGCCGCGGGAGCCCGCGTGGGCGGCCCCACCGCCGCCCCACGCACAGGCCGCTTCACGCTCACGCTGAGGCTCAACCTCAGAGGCTCGAGCCTCATCCCAGCGCAGACCCGCCACGCCCCGCTGAGGCTCCGAGCGGCCGCGCCACCGCAGGGGCCCCCTCCCGCGCACGCGCACACGCTCTCCCCAGCCACTCGCCTCGCCCCGCCCCCGTTGCCTGGTGACGGTGGGCCCGCCCACCAGGCGTTGGAGGAGACTCGGTCCCGGTCCCGGCCCCGGCTCCCCGCCGGCCCACCCGGACAGTACCTGCCTGAAGTCGATGTTGCCCAGGCCTCCGCAGCAGTCGGGCCCCGCCACCGGCCTGCTCATAGGCTCTGCTCCCGGCAGATCCTCTGCCCTGGGGACCGCCTCTGGAGGGACCGCGCGGGGGCCTCGCAACCACCTGCCCCAGGACCGGCCCCATTGCGCCCGGGAAGCGCCGCCTGCCGGGGCGCTTTCCCGGTGACCCAAACCTCTCCGGGTTCCTGGGAAATGTAGTTTCTCGTCCCTGCGACGCACCACTTACTTGGAGCTTTGCGAGCCGGCCTCTTGGGGAACCGGGAACTACAAGTCCCGGGATTATACGCTGCAGGGACCGCCGGTTCCGAGGCGGAATTGCGGCAGTGTCCGCTGGGGTTGGGTCTCCCGCCTCGTCCCTTTGGTCCCGGCTCCCGCTGCCAGCCTACGTGGGGTCCGGTCCTTGCTGGCGGCAGCGAGGCCAGAGGCCAGCGGCTGCGGGTCGCAGGTATAAGTAGCTTCCCGCGCAGCCCCCGCGGCCGCGGCCTTGGCCCAGGCTCGGTCCCCGCCCCCTTCTGAGACCTGCGTTTGCCCAGAGGCGGTGCAGGCGGCGCACCCCCTGTAGCCTGCGGCCAAGGCTACTGCTCCGGCCCACGGGCCTCCGCCCCCAGGCCTCCAAGATCTTGGTCCCCGCCAGAGACCTCCTCCACTCTTTCGTTCCTTCACTCATTCTCTCATCCACTCACCAGGGATTTGCGGCGATACAGTAGCCAACAACGCAAGGTTCAGGCCCACGCTGACTCCTAAAGGAATATGAGACAAAAACGAACAAAGGATTATGACTTGGATAAGTACTAATGAAAAAACGGGGCTAAGAGTACCAAGGGATAGATGCCAGGCATGCGAAGTGTGGTGTAGGGCAGACTAGCAAGAGGGAATTGGGGGGACCTCGGAATCCAGAAACAGCTGGTGGCTGCGGAAGAGGAAGAGTTGAGAAAAGTGGATTTTAGATTACTGGGTCCCAGGAGGGCCTCTTTTGTAGCCGGGCATTACATATGTACATAAGAAAAGAGACTTCAGAGACTCCCATATTTTGCCCCATCACCCAGCCCCTGGGGATGGGACTTAACCAAGGCCAGCTGCTTCCTGATGGAGGCTGCTCCCCGCTCTCCCTGCTGACCCTAGCACCCACCAGTCCTGAGCAGGTCACCCCTGTGCTGACTGCTTTGCAGAAGGCCCACCTTCACCACACCAGGCTGGGCAGGCTTGAGAGCTGCGCTAACCAGCTCTGTGACTTTCAGTTTTTTTCTAAGTAAAAGGACAAAACAGAGGGTAAAACTCAACACAGGCCTGAACTCACCACATAGCTAGGTAACCACTGTCCTTAACAGGGCTGGGTGCGTAGTAGGTGCTCCAGGGCTGGTTTGCCTATGACCTTTGTTACAAGGTCAGGCGATGCCCCTGGGTGGCCTGCTGGAACCAGAGCGGATTCTGAGCCCACCGAGGGGGAGGGCTCTTAGGGAGCTTCCCCCTCCCCCCATCTCCATGTCTGCTTCACAGAAGCCCAAGTTCCCCTGGCCTACCTGGCTGCCCTGTTGTTTTTTTAAGCCAGGAAATTAGTTTTTGTGTGTTTTGTTTATCTGGAACAAAGAAGGTAAACATCAGAGGTCAGACCAGAGCTGATGCAACTAGAGGCACCCACTCCACCTCAGCCTGCCCCCCCCCCCCCCCCCCCCCCGCCCTGTCTGTGGCTTCCAGAGGTGGAAGCCAGAATACAGCTTCCAGTGTCAGGGCGAGTTCAGATCCAAAGCCTCCTGCTGAAGAGAGTTCCGGCAGAAGCCGGCCTGGCCTGCAAATCCCCTGGTCAGAGCTGTGGGAAGCCATCCAGGCCAGCCTCTCACTAGACTGTTTGGTTCGGGGCATCCCTGGCAAACAGGGAAGTCACTTGTGCTCACACACTCAAGTGGCGAAGGCTCACGCCCTCTAAGGCGGTCTGCCCCCTGTTTATTCATGGCACAGGCCCCGAAGACTTAACAAACAGGCCTCCGGCTCTGTGGACAAAAGGGCCATATGCTGACCTGGCAGCTCAGGAGAGGCCTGGTTGGCGGTCTTGCAAAGGATGTCCGGAATTAAACTTTAACTAACAGCAAGATGGTGGGTAGTCATGTCCTAGGCCTGTATCTCCTGACAAGGTCAACCTTTAGTTTAAAGAGCTTGCTGTCTTTTTGCATCTGAGATAACATATCATTGAAATGTCTGGGTAACTTGTAACTTCCCTTTTTTCCAGACCCCTCAGGGCATAACCGAATTCCCTGGGTACCAGGACAGATACCACAAATTCCTTCATTGTTAAAAAAAAGTATGTGTCTATTATTTTACTTTTTATCCAACCTAGAGGTCCCCCTCTTCCCCCTCCTTCTCCCCCTCACTTTCTCTCGCCTCCCTAATCTGTCACCAGTGGATATCATGTGACCCACCTGTATCTCCTCGGCTAGTCCAGTGAGCGCATGTGAGAAACCGCCCTGCCCCAGGGCACTATCTCAATATGTTGACCTTCTGCTTCCCAGCAACTGTGGACAGTTTGGCTCAAATAAACACAAAAATTCTTTACAGGTTTGAATTTTTTTTTTTACACTAACACCCTCAAAGTTATCTCTTTCTGCCCCTTGATACATCTTCAGATATGGAAGGCCATTTATCGTAGCTCACTGTCCATCCCAGGCAGACATCTGCAGGTGGCTCTCTCTCAGGCCAGGAGTTTGACCCCTGCTATGAGGGAGTCCAAGCTAGCAGCCATTTCTTCATTGCTTCCCTCCTCCCCTCCGTGGCACTGGATCTGGCTGCACGGCTCCCACAATCACTAAAACAGGCTTTTATTACTAAGATTAACATTAGCTCATTGGGTGGCTTTGAGTAAAATCTAAACCTTTCCTGACTGAATCTTTTCTGTTCGTAAAATGGGTATAATAATACCTTGAGCACAGATGAGATGAGGAGTAGAGACAATAACAAGCGCTTCTGTGCACTTGGAGTAACACAGTTCTCCACGTCTTCTTCCTTCTGTGACACTCCTGGACACGCTGGGGTGTGGGGTCAGCCCAGCATGGGGCCCAGGAGAGCTGGGTGACAGCGACACCGCTGCCATCAGCTCCTTATTAATAAGAGGAAAGGAGCAAAGGGGGGAGGAGGCAGGTATGCCACCTGTGGCAGATTCCTGGAGAACGCTCAGCCAGCTCTGAGGAGGAAAGTTAACCTTTACTTCGCAGATCTGCTGGTCCAGGGAACTCCGGGTCCAAGGCCTGAGCTGAGCTTGTGGGGAGGCTCTGACCTTCACATCCTCCTGTGGCGGCCCCTGAGGGGCCCCCAGGCCCTGGGGTTCGGCCCTGTAGCTCCCCTCCTGTCAGTCAGCGTGGGGAAGTCAGACTACAGTTTTAACCAGACACTGAGCAGGCTGCAAGCAGCCCCTGCCCCATGTTTTTCATTCCCCCCTCTTGTTCCACAAGCTATTCTTAAGCCTGGGAGGTTACAGAAGGCTCAGGAATTAAGGATAAGGTTGATGACCACTCTAGCTACTTCCTGCTGAAGGGGGATGACAAAAAAGGGGGTTCAGTCTCCTGAGTCTTCCCCATCTTCCCCAAGGGGGTCATCCGAGTAGCAAAGGCAGAGAAATTCTTCTCCCGGTATCAGTCTGGGGTTCTGGCGACACTTGTATGAAGACAGAATAAAATGGTTAGAAAAGACCAAAAATGGCCGAGACCTGTTTGGCTCAGTGGATAGAGTGTCGGCCTGCGGACTGAAAGATCCCGGGTTCGATTCCGGTCAAGGGCATGTACCTTGGTTGTGGGCACATCCCCAGTGGGGGTGATGCAAGAGGCAGCTGGTCGATGATTCTCTCTCATCGATGTTTCTAACTCTATCCCTCTCTCTTCCTCTCTGTAAAAAATCAATTATATATATATATATATATATGTATATATATATATATATATATATATATATATATATGTATATGTATATATATATTAAAAAAAAAAAAGACCAAAAAGGATAATTATCCAGATAGGAGGGGAGAAGGAGATCCAGGCTTGAAGTTGATCCATGGGGGTAGTTCAGGTCAGAGGTCACCTTCCACTCTGGTGCTGGTTGTCCAGCCGGTGAGCTGCTTTTACCCGGGAGTGGTGGGTCCAGGTGTTCAGTCCTGCAACTTGGAGAGCTGAGGGGGTGGTCAGTATGACTGGATAAGGTCCCTTCCAGGTTGGCTTATGGGGTTCTTTTCCACTCTTTGACCCATACTGGTCCCCAGGCTTGTGAGGGTGCACAGCTGTCCCTGCCATATAAAACTTCAGAAGAGAAATCCACAGCCTGAACTGAACTCGTGGGGAGGCTCTGACCTATACCCGCCCCCCCCTGGGGCGGACCCTGAGGGTCCCCCAGCTCTGTCCAGGTCCATCACTCCCCGCCCCCAACCCCCAGCCACCACCACCATTTTCCTTTTCAATCCGGGCAGCTTCCCCAGAAAGCTGCCACTTCACACCCTGCAGGGAGCCACGGGCCCAGTCCCTGCAGATCGCTGCGGGGAGGAACCCACCAGAGGGGAGATGGGCACACACACACACGAGCAAGGGAAGTTGGGGTGACCAGGGAGGGTGCCTGTCATTCACACCTGGGAACAGAGGTCTTTGGCTAGAACAGGTGGAGCCACGGCAAGCCACAAAATGAGGGAGTCCGTAACCCCCTGAACAAGGGCTCCCTCTCCGCTGCTCTAGCTGCTCTTGCTGCTCTTGGCTGTAGTGCATTTGCCTGTGTGGCCCGCGGCCACGTGGACCCGCACACAGTGGACTAACGGACTGCACCTGGGAACGCGTAGACCGAGTTCGCTGGACTGGACTCAGCTCCCACGTGGAGCGGAAACTCCGGGCCCTGGCTCTGGCTCCAGCTCTGCTGAAGGCCCAGCTGCACTGTGTCCTTGGCGGGCTGAGGGAAATGAGACCTCGGGAACGGGTTTCATTCCACAGAAACAGCGCTTCCTGCAGGACCTCATCCCCCCGGGGGAGTCAGCAAGTGTGGACGGAAGGGGCCCCATGCTGACCTGACAGCAGGGGGGGCCTCCGTGGCGGTCTTGCAGACTCAGACATAAAGGATGGTCTGAAATTAAACTTTAACTAAAGCAGTGATGGTGGGCAGTTATGTAGGCGGTATCTTCCC